TTCCCCAAATAGGGAAACCCCAATATAGACGCAAAAATACTATAACCCTTTTTTTAGGTGGTTCTAGGAGCCCATATGATTTTAATTGCGCGGCAAATTTAGGGAGGGCCGCCGTATTAAAGAGGAATGGTAATTGTTTAGGGGGGGGGGGGCCCCCCATCATTAAAAAGGGTCCAACGTCACAGGGCATATCACACGCACCCTTAATAAAGAACAGGACAGTATGTCTTCGACTTAAGAAAATAAGTGTCCGTTTTCATCTAGAAACTAGGGCCCCTAAAGGGAACCCCCATAAGCCTACGACAATACTTATACGTCCTGTACCTATATAGGAGTGTACGTATGACTATACACTTCCGCTGCTGCAAGTGGTTCGAGGCGTACGACAGTGCGCTAGAGTAGAACTAACAGCGCTTACTACACTCTTACTAGCAACTTCCTATTGTTACATCTCCTCCGGGATCCCCGGGCCTTGATACATGGGCTGTCATTGGACTCGTAATAAATACCTATAAGGGTTGAGCTGTCATTGGACTCGTAAAAACTGGGTGGGGAGCCGGCGTATTAAATACCTATCCACTCCTACCAGAATCCATTAAGAACCGGGTGGGGGGTCGGCGGGCGGGAAGGGCGGGAAGGGTGGTTGAAGGACGCAAGACGGTATTGAAGGCCGCAAGGCGGTAGTTGAACACAGCTTCACGCGCGCCGCCCCTCGGGGTTGGCGGATTTCTCTGTTGCGTGCTGCAGGGAGACGCAGGGATATTTGTGGTTGGGCACTGCCGGGTAACTCTGCTTTTGGGCGCTGCAGGATTTTTTTCTGATTCGTCACAGGGGGGGTCTGCTGTTAGGCACTGTTGGCATGCTTTGCAGTTGGAGACGCCAGGGATACGCCGCGGCTGCATACTGAGCGGTCGGGCACTGCGCGGATGGCGAAGGGAACGTGGATTTCTGTAAATCGGAGAACCCTAATGTGAGGTTGCGGAACAACCATGATAACAACACCCAAGCCATTATATCACATGCATGCGCTGCGAGGCCAAGCGGCCAAGCGGATTTATTGATTGTTTGTTGTGGACGTGCCAATGACTTTCCAAGCTTATGATGGAGAACATATATGCGTGTATGCCGTGTCTTTTTCGCTGCGAAATGATTCAACGCAAAAAAAGACCGCCCACCCCTGCAGGCAATGGACTCATGGAGTATTGGTGCATCCTTTCGCCTTGTGGCTTTATTCCAGGCCAGTAAAGCTCCAAAGATCTTGTGAATATCACCATGCAGATGCACAGCGCGCACAGGTTATGGCCGCTGCTGGATTTTCCTTGGCGCTGCTCTCTGCAGACTGGGAGGAGGTGCCTCAGGGTAGCTATTGGCAGACTGTAGGCAGACTGTAGGCAGACTGTAGGCAGGCTGTAGGGCTTTGTGCGAGGAGCGTAGTACCTGGAATCGGCTGACATCACCTCGTGATGCTGCCAGCCTGATGGAGCAGATGGAGGAGGGAGCATGGGCCTCAGGCTGACCTTCATCTCAGGCAGCGTATAGCCATAGAGCTCCCTTTGCTCAGTTCAACTTGGAGTTGACGAACCTCTCTGACCTCCCTGAGAAAGAGAGGCGCTTCAGCATGGCAGTTGCCAGAATGCTGGTATTTCATTGTTGTGACAGGAAGAATCAGACAGGACATTGACGGTCAGAACTGAACTGGCAAACGAACAGTTTAGGTTTCACCCTTCAACCCAGTCACATGCGTTTCATAGCGTCTCAGCTTTCCGGCGAGCTAGTTTCATAAATGAATGGAGATCTCTGCAAGCTTAGCCGACCAGTCCGCGAAGACTTGTGGCCTCGCCGCGTGCACCTTTTCACAGATCCTGTTGCGCCATCGAGTTTGCATTCTAGCTGTTGGACTTGGCTGGTGAAGACCTGAATTCCATCGACGCGTCCACCCAATGGTTTGGCCACCCTCAAACGCCCGCCTCTCGTGAGAAAGGCTTCAGCCTATTTCAGCTTCATGCGGCTGACAAACTGCGCTCGCAATGCAGAGTTCAAAATTGGAAACTATGACTTTTCCTGATGCTCCTTAAGACAGGGCTCCGGAACATAGAGCATGGAGGACAACAAGGAGGGAGGTTGCTGGCCTCATGAAAAGGTGTAGGAAGTTTCGCCCCAAACCAAAGCCTTGAAACTCCAAGACCACCCTCGGGACGGCCATATGATTCCAGATAAGATGCTCTCCCCATCTTCACCCAAATCCGCACAAACTAATCATAATGCCGCTGAAGCCACTTCCACTACTGCAAATCCAAAGGCCCGCATAAAGCTTAGATAAACCCAACATGGCCACTGTAGAAGCACCATGAAGCACCAGAAGCCCTATAGACCCTAAGTTAAGACATAAGACACACAAGACTCTGAAAATTCGTTGAACAACGGTATAAAACCATGATGACAGGACCGCGCAGCGCCAGGAGAAACCAACGCCCGATGATGTGGCGATGCTGTCGATGCTGGCTGTCTGGGCCGGCATCGTCAGCATCGGGCATTTGTCTTTCCTTTCTGGTGCTTCGAGGTCCTTCAGACGGGAGCTAGCTTGCAACAACGCCTGCAGTCATGATTCTGGTGGGTCCAGGTGACCCGATTAGTCCTTCAACAATGCATCGGTTCGAAAACATAAGAAAGTTCCCGGCGGCTTTCAGGCGGGGTTTCGAATGGCTGGTTGGTGGTGGCGGCGGTGCCACCCCTGGGCCAAAGACAGGAAGGCACGGTTGATAGCTTGGCATGATCTGAGTGCCAGAAAGCTTCACTGTGCGCACGCCGGGTCAGTGGATTGTGACAGAGTGATGAGAGACCGGGACACCAAGGAAACCGCGTCTATCAAACCTCCCGCGCTGGCAGCTGCAAGCTCCCGTGAAAACACAAATGTTCGTGAAATTTCGTAATAGATTGGAAGAGGTTCGCTGCAAAGGCATGGTTGCCTCAAATTGCCTTTGCGGCCCGCGCAAGAAGGTCCAATGCCACAAGGCCAAATGATGTGTGGCTTACAACGCGCTACAACGTACTGTCGCTTGCCGAGCTGTGGAGCGCAAGCTGCGCAGCTGGCAGGCCAAGACCTCGTTGCAATTGGGGGCCGCGCGTCACTTCCTGCACGACAACGGGCTGCAATGACCATATTGTTGCATCCAAACCTTTTCTCCAGGAAACCTATCAAGGCTAAGAGGTCCTCCAGTTCAAACTCAGACAGCGACGCCTGCTCCCATGGCTGGGCAACCGGATCCTTGCAGTGTGGCGCGGGTGCTTCGCCTCGCAGAGTGACATTGAAGGCGCCATGCCGGCCAACGTGAAGGCGACATCGAGCCGGACGCGCGCACTAGTCACGAAAGCTAGCGGAGCTAAGCTTGAGTTTAGTGTCAAGGTCTGGAAAACGACGGGCCGTGCGATATATCACAGGATGAGGGGGGGGTAGGTGTGGGGGCGTTGAAGTTCGTGATTCCTGCCAGT